ATGCTTCTCTTTGCATTGTTCAACATCTCGGCAAATTGACAGGAAAGAGGGGAGCGGGTAGGTATCAATAAATGCTTCTTTTAGGATATTCTGCCGGCGGGCTTGCTGTTGGGGGATGCAGATGTAAAAGCGTCCTTGCGAGAATAATCTGCTGCCAGGTGATGGATCAGAAAAAGATGCAGCCTGCCTTCTTTATACGTAAGCCGCTCTGAACGAAGTTCTCTCCCGTCCCCCTCAGGTTACAACGACAGCGTTTACGCCGCCCCGATGTGCGGGCCGGTGGCGGTGGGGCCGGGGCAGGGCCTCGCGGCGGCCGAGGCGCCCCCATCCTCGCTGGGCTTCTCGCCCCTGTCGAGCCCCGCGCTGCCGACGCCCCACGACGGTGGCGGCGGCGGCTCGTCGGGGCCAGGCAAGCGGAAGCAGCGCCGGTACAGGTGAGTGACTCGACGGACTTGACCCCTGCCGAGTGCTGGGTAGGCAGCCCCGCCGCCCCGGCGCGCAGCGGCTCTGCCTACCCAGCACGGCGGCCCCTCGGGCGGCCCGGCCCCGGCCCCCGCTCAGCCCCATCTGTCCCGCTGGCAGGACCACCTTCAGCAGCGCGCAGCTGGACGAGCTGGAGCGGGCCTTCCACAAGACCCACTACCCGGACGTGTTCTTCCGCGAGGAGCTGGCCCTGCGGATCGACCTGACGGAGGCGCGTGTCCAGGTAGGCGGGTCGACACACTCGGCACTGCCACGACAGAGCCGCGTTTGACGCGTTTGCCACAGACTGGCTCATTTTTCTCATATCTGTATTCTATCATTTTTGTCGCAGGTGTGGTTTCAGAATCGGAGGGCCAAGTGGAGAAAGCAAGAGAAGCTCGCCGTGAAGCAGCACCACAACCACCATCACCATCATCATCATCACCACCACCAGCAGCAGCAAGATCAGGACCAGCATGGCGAGCACTTGCACCATCACCAACACGTGGAGGAACACCAACACCATCATCACCATCAACTCCAAGTGCCGGAGGTGGCGCACATGAGTTTGCCGGGTAATTATTTTTTGTAACACACTCTCCTCCCCAGTGAAATTGACCTCGGAGGACCTTTCTTGTTAGTAAAATATACAGGGTGGTCTACAGACCCCTTCCTTTATTTTGCTTATACTGTATCGCATGCAGGCGGGCGGGCGGGCTTGCCTACCGTCGCTCACCGCGGCGCCTTACGGCCCCGTGTGAGTATGCAACCCGCACGCACTCCTGCATCCGGTACAGTAGAAGCATAATTAAGGAAGGGGTCTCCGGACCACCCTGTATGATGTTGCTATAGTGACGATTGTCTCATCTTGAGATAAAAAGAGTCGGGCAACAACCCCGAGCCGAACCGGGCAGAGCGAGCGCGAGCGAGCGCGCATGGCGCCGACTCGCTAGGCGCATGCTCGCGCAGGCAGCCGCGCGCGCCAACAGATGCGCGGGGTGCGACTCCCCTACCCGCCGAGCAGAGTGGCGCAGTGGAAGCGTGCTGGGCCCATAACCCAGAGGTCCGAGGATCGAAACCTTGCTCTGCTATCGCAATATTTTACCGCTCCTGTAACTCGGGTACTCTGCTCTCGTCAGTTTCAGTGTCACCGACGTCGTCACCCGTGCCTGTGATGGCAGATGGCGGACCCATGCTGGGCAGCGCTGCCATGGGCCTCGGTAGGTTCGCCTTTTGGAGTTTGGAACCAGGGAGTGCGGCCATGACCCGGCGCGAGTGTGACCTATGACCCGCTGTTGCAGTGGCTCCGCTGGGATCCCTTGGCCAGCTCGGCCCTCTCCATTCAGACCCGAGCCCGGTCCCAGGCATGGGGCTCTTCCTCGGCATGGAGTGGGGCGGCTGCACCGGCTTCGCTTCATACCCTGTCTCCCATGACAGCGACCTGGGTCGGCTCAAGTCGTCCCCGGAGCCAGCTGGTCACGACCAGGGCCACGATGGTCACGACCAGCAGCAGGCAGGGACGGAGCAGCAGCCTGGGGCCCACGGAGGCGCCCGGCTGGGGATGCAGCTCGGAAACGGAAACGAGTAGTGTGCCAAATTGGTCCGTCCATAGCGTCCGGATTTGGTGCGAGTCGTCCCTTACGATGCCGCTCCCGGCCGGCACGGTTGCGAGGTGTGCGAACACCTCCTGACACATCGATTGGCGGGCCCCTACCGCAGGGCTTCCCCCTCCCCCTTCAGACCAGGTAGAGGGGCTTCCCTCAGGCTCAGCCCGGCGGCGGCCTCTGGGCCCCACACCAGGAAAGGGAGTGCAGATGGGTGTACCTCTTGCCAAACCCTGAAATAATTAGGTTTTATGACCGAGGGATTCTCACTCCTAAGACGCAGCATCACGTTACGTGGTAAATGATGGTAAGATCTTTTTTTAACCTGCCGGCCGACAGTTGTTCCTGTGGCTGAGGAGCATTGTTTTTGTTTCTGAGTCGCAGTTAATTGAAGCAATACCAGCAATACTACAAGTCATAGTGAAGAAGAAAAAAAAAGACCCATAATTATTTAACAGTTTCAGTACCTATGGGAAATTGAAATAATAAAAAAAAGGGCTAGAGATAACCACAACTTTATCTGCTTTTTTTCAAACAAACATATTATAGATTGTCTCAGAAAAATTTCTGAAGAACTTCTATCATGCTCATCACAAAAACAACACCGGATAAAAATTAGCATAAAAAATTGTTACAGACCATGTGAGTATGAAGGGTCATTCTCATTTCCTCCAGGCTTTAAAAACATCAATAAAATTAATTCGACAAATATATAGATCTTTATCCGGCAATTACTTCTTACAATATAGCAATACAAAGTTGTACTAAACAGACTTTCAAAAAGCCAAGGACATTGCACAGTATTTGAGATGATAAAGAAAAGTTAAGAATGACATAACTCAGACTTCCTTACATAAAGTTTAGCTACAATAAAACGAAAACAACATTACAACTTCTAGTTCAGGTCAGAAAAGCCTCAGGAAAATCAATAGGCAAGAGTTCACAGAATCCTTTTAGTTAGTTTTTGGCTTTGAGAAGCTGAAATCATAATGACAGTTGCCAAAAAAGCTTTAAAAACACATGCTCTTTCACAGCCTTGAGCATATAATTACTAGCACTTAATTACAGGATTGCAGGGTGATTTGATCAGTAATGTAAGAAAATTTGTCTCTCTTTGATTGGATCAAGGAAAGAATCAAAGCATTCTTTGAATGCCTAATTTCAAGACATGGGACTATGAACATGAAATAAATTAAAGTTCATGGCACATCTAAACAACAAAAAAAAAAAAACATTATATTTTTTTTTAAACGGAAATTCATGAAACCAGGACATAATTAAAAATTAAGGTGACCCAGAATCTACTTATATTTAAGAAATATGAAAGAATGTTCATTAATTTATAATGTTCATATAAATAAAGTACTCCAGTTCAAGCTTGGTTAATCATCACACTTTTTAAACACATATAACTTCTAAAAACTTCATCAATTACAGTCATTTACATTTTTAGTACAGTATTTATTTTTAGAATTGTGTGTATATGGTCGTTGAATTGTGCACAGCACACATAATCTTGAACTCTCTCATTGGTATCCACCCTGTTCTAAAAGCCACACATTAAATATTGATTTTTGTTTTCAGTTGCCTCATGCAATGTACATATACTCATCAGGTGAATTGGGTGTCCTTTCTAAATATTGCTTGTCAATAAGAGATTCAATACACTTCTTGATCATGCTGATTGAAGGAGCAAATGTAACTCTTGATTGACCTAGCACCTGAAAAACCACAACAACAATCAAAGAATAGTTCAAATGTACACAAGCAAAGAGATATTAATGAAATCTTTAAGAAAAGTTTACCTCTTGAATGAGGGCATTGTGCCTCAGTACTCTTCGAGATTTCATAATTCTCACAATTGCAGCCTGGAGGTAGAGCTTACGATCTTCATTGATGGCATTCATAGTGTGCTCAACTTCCTGAGGTGAGTCTCTAACCATAGCTGCTGTGATTCTCAATTTTGTGCGTTTGTTACTATAGTCCATATTTAACTTCAAAATACTCTCTGGGGTTAGATTCTGGCAAAGAGAAACAGAAACATATCAAATTAATAAGAAAATAAATAATTCAATCAAAACTTGAGAAAAGTTTTGGCAAATATACCTCAGAGGAAATATCAGAAAGTAAAAGCTTGCAATCAATTAAACTAGCAATGTGTTTCAGAATAACATCCTGACTCAGTTTAAGAGCTTGCTCAACTTCACTACATGTCATTGTGTCTGTGTCTTCAAACAAAAGCATGATTGCCATTTGGAAGGTCTGCATTGTAATGATATAAGGCTTCTTCAAATAGCCCAGCTTCAGATCACCTATGAACAGATTGAATAAAGTTGTTGACAGAGATATATAAACAACAGTATATTGATGATAGTATAAAGATAGACTTGAAAGGCAAAGACAACAAACCTTGACATAGATGATGGAACCATGTCAGTTTACGCCCATTAAAATTTTTGTGGTAAAAATTTTCAAACTAGAAAAACAAAAAAGGATGGGTAAAATCGGGTACAATATTAGGTAATATAAAAAGGAAAAATGTGCTTGGTTCACTAAGATTTAAAAACTTACAGTTTGGACAGACTTTTCCAATTCCTGGGGCACCGAAAAAGTTGATAAAGATGTTAGATTTAATGGCCATGCTCCAGCCTGAAATTTATTTTTTTTGTCAAAATAAATTTGTTAGGTGTGTGACTAATTTCATCAAAAAAATGGTACAAAAGAATGTTGGTTACCTGTAGTACATAAATTGAAAAGTTGATTCCTAAATCTATAGTATCAGTTTTGAGATGAGCATTGAACTTGAGATTTAAATCAGCTGACAAGGATATGTCAGTAAACATGCGATGAAGCTTGTTGGTGAATTCATAACCACATGCTTGCTGTGAAGAAATTTGAAAAGACAAGAAAAGTTAAAATTACATAAAAGGACAGGGTCTTATATATGAGCAGCACTTTCAGAATTGATCTCACCTTAAGTCTGTCAATCATGGCTTCCTCTGCATCCATACTTTGACTTTGTTGATGGATAAGTCTCTTTGCCAACATTCGAGAGTAAAACTTTTGAAAAGCATCCTTGTCATCTATGTACTTAAAAATAGTAATAGATTGAAAGAGCTTTTCATCAATTTCAGTATCTGATATGCCTTTGGAAGACTTTTTCAGCAAACAATCACAATACTTAGCCAGCAGTTCTGGTGATCGACAAGCCATCTTAGGATTAGGCCTCGTGTTAACAACAGTAGTGCATGCTTTATCCAAAGCTCCGATAAAAGCCAAGTCACCATTGAACACATTCTGTAGGAAAGAGAAAATGATAAAGGTCATGAGCTTTGATTGGATGCTATGTGGAGCCATTCAATGTACATTTATCTCCATCTCACCTGGATTAAAGATCGATATTTGTTGTGTACAGCAAGAAGACTTTCAATAAAAAGCACATGATAATTGTCACCACGAATACCAGCAATTGCTTCAGTCCCTTTCAGTTTTATGTGCTCCATGACTTCACTGATGAGCACATTAATACCTCCTTGGACTGAGCGAAGTAGAGGATAAAGAAGAGCTAGATCACGCTCACGCTCTTGCACAACCATTGCATGACATTCACTTTGCAGAAGAGCAAGGTGATCAGCAACCATATGTTGTTCACATTTTGCTTTGACTTTAGGATGTGTACTAAAAATAACACATCATATTTTGATTACTAATACTGAAAAAACTAACAAAAACAAACTAACAAATAGGAAAACATTTTGTTTATGATACTAACGATGTGTGAACAAATCTCTGACTACGCAGTCTTTCTTCCTCTAAACGTTGAGTTACTTTCTCCATATATTGGGAAACATCACACTCTTGTAATAGTTTGCTAGCTTCTCTTTTGTAAAACTCCCCACTTGCTTGTAAAAAAGGAGCTTCAAAAATTTGTTGGTACAGCTACATAAAAGGAAAAGATTAAAAAATAATAATAATTAGGATAGGTTATTTCTCTCACTTTGAAGAGATTTTTTTAATAGCTAAACTTACCTCCGGACTTTGTGATTTGCGGTACTCCTCAACGTTTACAAAGGACATAATTACCCCACGAATAACATCAATGAGGTGATGTGAAGGGTTGCCTAATCTATCTTTGTGGATTTCTTCCAGAAGATGACTTACAAGGTTCTCCCTAAGAGGTTCAATCATCATCCGCTTCCACACATCTAGGCCTGAGCAAAGCAAGTAATAATTTATTACTTTTCAGAGAATTCATAATTTTCTTTGACATATAGTTTTACTATACCAACCAAGCTCTCCAATTTCCATCTGTTCTTCAGCATTTGGTGTAACATTGCCATAAATGATTTCAGCTTCAGAGAGTTTTTGACCTCGTATGTGCTGAGTGTTAAGATATCTGTTTAAATAAATAAAAACAATTATTATGAAATCTTTGGAAAATTAAAATTAATTTGAATAGCAAGAAAGTTCAACAAAGACTAGTGCACTTACAAGTAAAGACGGTGAAGGTATATGATTCCTTGACTATATTCTACCCAAGATGAATGATATGCTTGCAGCAAACTAGGTTCTCCTTTCGATTTTACTACATCCAGAAGGCTTTTGACATGACTCTCAAGGAAAGCTTTAGTTTCAATGTACAGGCGATCAGCCAATGGTTCAGGGAATGATACACATAAAGAGTATACATCACTGAAAGTAAATAATTAGAAACCATTAACGTTCTGTACGTCACTAAAAACAAAACTAAACAAATCTCGCTAGTGCAGTACTGAAATCTATTTCATAATTAAATCATATTTTTTGTCTTGAAATCACTAGCTTTTCAATACCTGAATCGATCGTTCCAGATTGCTCGGGGCACATTTCCCAAGGTAACAACACCTTTTACAGTTTCTTGCAGCGTGTCCCATGTCTGATTAAAGTCAACTGTTCTTGGTTTCAGGGACATGGCTGGGAGAGTGATGTAAAGAGAAGCCTGAAAATGTTAAAAAAATGAGAGAAGATGTAAGTGAAATAGGGAAGTGCATTTGAGGGGCACAAATACTCTTTGAGAAGACGTTAGAAAAAATCATTGCTTTAAACAATTGATGAAGACAGTCATGGTTAAAAAAAACAGGCCTTCAAAATAAAGTAAAATCAAGTGATAGCTGATACTCCCCACAAATGACCAAAATTACAAGTGTCAGAAGATATCAATTTCTTTCAAAAGCCCATCATTGAGAAAGTTGCCTGACAGGGAACCAGAACATAGAAACAGTCGATTTTGTAGTGAGCAAAATCTCTGAGGAAATGCCTATGAGATGTGAGGAAGATAACTGCGAGTGACAACCATTATTAGTTTTAAAAATATGGGGCAAACGGTACGAACTTAACCTACAATAACGAGAGCTGATCCGTTGAATTCAATGTTCTATTCACGCACAAATCAGAAACAACTCATCTCAACGGACTAGTGAGCACGAAGAGACAACAAAAATCTACGATGATAACTGATAAGCAGCACCAAAACAAAATTTGGGACACTATTATCGATAAATGAGTAGACAGAGTGCAACCAACAACTGCGTTGACTAAAGCGTATAAGGGACGCGACAGGACCATATAATCATATTCGACGCTCACAATACAAATAATTCATCCCTACCTAAAAGTTAAATCTTAGGCCATCAGCTTTCTGCTTTCATTCATTCTATTTTCCACTCCAGACGATGACGATCAGGGCAACATGGCAGACAGAGTTTAGTAACTGGGACTGTTGGTGCCAACCAACCGAAGTTGAACAAGCAGTTGGCAGCACTTCTAAAGTGATAGATTTGTCGTACTCTGTCTAAATGTTATCGAAAATGGCGCTGTTGTGGACCTGCAGACGAAATGTTATAGGAGAATTTGTAATTAAAATGTCATGGAAAGGCAGGTTATTGAAATTACCCCGGAACCATTATTTCATTCATCCAACTTCTTCATTTGGAAGTCATTTTACAAGTAGCCACCGCTCATTACCTGTGCAATCCAGGGTATTTGGTAGATTATCTCAAAATGCGGTTAGGGTATGAATCTTATATTTTTATGTCCATTATTAATGTTTATCCTATGCGAAAGTAAACTTGATGTAGTATTACGAAATTGAGTAATAGTTGGATTTCAAAGTGATTTTTCTTTGGTTTTATGTTAAACAGCATGTCAGCAGCTCAAACACCTCCAGTGTTTCTCGAGCTATAGTTTATACTCCAGAAGATGTTTCATCCAAAAAAACACCTTTAAAAGACGCCTCTCAAATTGCTGGTCCAACTGTCTTAACTCAGAAGAATTCAAGAGTTTGGTTTCATGCTGGAGTTGGTCATATTCATGAAGATGATGGTGGCCCACCCCGTAATGGTGAAGATAAAGTGAATAGCAAACAGATGATACGAGCTATGCTATCGTATGTGTGGCCGAAGGTATGGATTTTTGTCTATGACAATCCCTCTCTCTACTTATTTTGTTTTATTTAATGCTCTACGTAAATGCTAATTATCTTTTCTTTTTTGGGGGCCAAAGGATGATCCAGATATAAGAAAGCGAGTGAAAATAGCAATGGGCTTGTTAGTTGGATCCAAGGCACTTAATGTGTCTGTTCCTTTTCTATTCAAGTATGCAGTTGATACTCTGAATGTGACCCCTGATGGAAATATTTTGAATTTGGCCACAGCTTCTGATACAGTTCTGACTTACTCAGTTGCTCTACTCTTAGGCTGTAAGTTACTGTTCAAGTTGCATATTTTTTTCGTGTACTTATAGCTTCATTTGCCAGTATTTTCATGATATTATTTTGTCACTGTTTTGTTTTAAAATTATATTTTTGAATCCTTTTTACTTTAGATGGCATTGCCAGGGCTGGTGCCGCAGGTTTCAATGAACTGAGAAATGCTGTGTTTGCTCGTGTTGCACAACATTCAATAAGAAAAATTGCTCGTAATGTTTTTTTACATCTTCACAACCTTGATCTCTCATTCCATTTGTCTCGTAAGACAGGTGCACTTTCCAAGGTAAACCAGCCTTCTAAAATAATATCAATGAATGAAATATATTTTATTCATAAGGTTATTCTTACCTAGCTTAATTGTGTAGACCATAGATCGGGGAAGTCGAGGCATAAACTTTGCTTTGTCTGCAATTGTCTTCAATATAGTACCAACCCTCTTTGAATTGGGCATGGTAGCTACAATACTGGTGAGTATTTTACTTCATGTTTTAAATGAGGTGGTAGTACAGTATGTATGTCTCAATATCTATACCTATCAATTAATCTAAATTATTTTCTATTTGTAGGGGATCAAGTGTGGACCTGAGTATGCTGCATTATCTGTAGGTTGTGTTGGTCTTTACACTGCTTACACCCTTGCTGTGACACAGTGGCGTACTAAATTTCGTGTATTGATGAACAGAGCAGAAAATGAAGCTGGTAACCACGCCATAGATTCTTTAATCAACTATGAAACTGTAAAAGTTAGTAGCTTTAATATACCTGCTTGTGTAAATTTACCCATTATTTTCTTTTTAATCTAAAAATTACTTTGGTACTTTTTTTTAGTATTTTAACAATGAGACATTTGAAGCCAACAAATATGATAAATCATTAAAGAAGTATGAGGATGCCTCACTGAAAACAAGCACTAGTCTAGCTGTTCTTAACTTTGGTCAGAATGCTATTTTTAGTGGAGCATTAAGTATGATTATGATCATGGCTGCTCACCAAATCTCAGCAGGTACATTCCAGTAGTTATTAAAAAAGCTTTAAGCAGATGTCACTGTATTGATTACTAATTAGTTACATTATTTTCCCTTTCAGGTACCATGACAGTTGGTGACCTTGTCATGGTTAATGGGCTCCTGTTTCAGCTAGGAGTACCATTAGGCTTTCTGGGCTCTGTTTATAGAGAAGTCAGACAAGCTTTAATTGATATGCAAACAATGTTTACATTGATGACTGTTGATCCACAAATTACGGTAAATTTTCCAAATCCTTTTAGTGTATTAACTTGTATTGTTCTGTCAAGTTGTTACTGGTCTTAAAAGTAATTTTGCTGTTTCTTCCAGACAAAGCCAAACACTGCTCCTTTTGTAGTCACTCCATCTAATGCATTTATTGAGTTCCGAAATGTAAGCTTTGATTATGTGCCAGGAAAGCCCATCTTCAAGGACCTCTCATTTACTATCCCAGCTGGGAAAAAAGTTGCCATTGTTGGTGGTTCTGGCACTGGGTGAGTCTGAAAGTAAATTCCTGAAAAACACTA